ACTGCTGCTACCAAGAGAATTTGCTCACCCAAGAGTTATTGGTGGCCCTTGATGCTCACCAGGTTTGGTGACATTGTGGCCAAGGCTGCCCAGAGGGGACCTGCCCCATGGCAGGCAGAGCAGGGCAGCAAGAGGCAACCTGCAGCTGGGAGCTGGGCCCGGGCACCCTGCCAGGGCTGCATCACAGCATCCAGCATGGGGACCTGGGGTGGGCTTGGTGCCCTCTGGCCTGATGCTGCCTGTCTTGTAGCTCTGCATGCACCAAAACTTGCTGCAAAGACTTCTGGGTCAGATAACAGCCTCCTGCTTGTAGGTCAAAAGACCTCTAAAATATTCCAAACTGCATTTGTTTCCAAATTGCCACTATTGTTGCAGTTTAAACTGGTTCTCTAATCCCAGAATACTGTTGTTGACCCAGTTGAAATACTTGTGCAGGCTTTTGTGTGTTTGGCCAGTTTGGGGATGGAATTGTAGAGCAAACCTTTCCCTCCAATTGAAAAGTCACTCATGCAATCTTTTTTGCTTACCTATGATGCTGCCTAAAAATATTTGAAGAAAAACCCACCTCACCCTCCAACTCTTCCACTTCACTCCAAAAAGACTTAACAAAATGCATGATGACTGCTTCTGATTAGAGGAATAATTTTCTTCACAAATTAACTTCTCATAAATAGGACAAATTTGGCATCAATCCACACAATTCTGTTTTTCAAGATAAATTCACATCAAAAAGTGTCGACTTTAGTTGAAAAGTTTGCTTTCTAATAAAAGGAAATTGAATGAATAGTAGAATGTCAAGTTTAAATCTTTCCTATCCAGTGGCACACTTAGATTCACTTAAAATCTCATATGAAGTAGCTGGTCTCTGAGCTCTTAACTCAAACCTGGAACCTTCTCTAAGCCTCATATGTATCAATGGATGGATTCCATGCAAACTTCCATTTGCAAAGTTATGTCTCTCTGGCTGCATCATCAATTTTTTAACAGAACATCCTGGTTTGAGCCAGGACAGAACCAATTTTCTTTTCAGCAATTTTACTTTTCAGTTAATTCTCTTCTAAGTAACTGCGCTTGCCAAAATTAGCAGCACGTTTCTCAGTCAATGTCTGCTGCTAGAGATAGTAACACCCAATGTTTATAGTTATAGCTCGAGAACAGTTTACAGAACAAAGGCCATTGGTTGGTGCTGCTAAACTTCTTAGGTGCAGGAAATGAAAGTGAGGAAAATGAGGGGAGGAGCAGACCAGACAGGTGACCCAAAACTGACCAAACGAAGTATTTCATCCCATACACATCATACTTGGTATAAATCTGAGGGATCACAAGGACCAAGCTCTCTTCATCTATGGCCGTTGTCCTCAGAGGACTCTGTTTTTCTGCCTTTAGTCCTGACCCATACATTACTGAATTCAGTTCCCATGTACTGAGTACAGGACTCCTGGGACTTTCCCAGGGCTGCCCTGCAGTCTTGCCTGTGACCTGAATGTTACAGGAGGGAAGTGATATTGGATTTGTATTTATTCAATTATTTTATTTTTCATCATTACTGTATCATTAAAGCTGTTCAGTTTAGTTTCCAACCTGTAAGTCTCTCTCCCTTATTCTCTTTCCTTTTTCTTTCTGGGATGGGAGAGAGGTTAATAGAGACCATCTGTCATTAGCTTAATTGCAGGCCCAGCATTAAACCTTAACACTTAATTTTTCCTGGAGATGTAAGAAGGCTTAATAGGTCCTAAAATATTAACTGTTTTGCTGCCTTTCCCCCACCCTCCCCTTTCCCCAGTGGAATATTTAAAAAACAAAGAAACAAACCCTAAAGCCACAGACACTGAGGGTCCAGAGAAGGTATCACTAGATCAATCCTAAGAAACCCTGGTAATAATTCTTTCCTGTTTCTGTATGGCAAGTACAGGGAAAACCCATATATGACTGGCAATTTTGAGGCATTTCCTGCAAATTTGCTGTATAAAAGAATGCCTAATAAAACATAATTTCCCAAACTTGCTCTATTTAATATTTCCTTAGTACTATTTCTCTTGGAACTCTCTGCTTGTATACAGCTTTTCTTGTAAAGCTGCACTGTTGCTGAACTAAGTGAACACCTGTGTCAGATATAAACCCCACAAAGGTTTAACATGTCTGTGGTTACCCTTCCAGATTTTTACAGAGAAAATATATAACTGAAAAACTACCTGGCAATTTTAGTTATCCCAGTTGGTTTTTATTTTGTTATGTTTTGTTTTCATTTTGTCAATGGAATTTTTTTTCATTTATTATCCAATGTCTAGGATTTTGTCTTGTTTGTGTAATTTACAGAGAAAGCAACCAGTGTAGTTTCTGCACTGTTTTCAGGAAAAAGTATTGCTGGTCTCAACCCTTCCTTCCCCTAAGCCATTGATAGGATACTGTTGACTAATATTCTAATGCCTATTTGTTAAGTAAGTAAGTTAATAAAATAAAGATTTGGAAAATTTGGATGAATGACTTACAGAGTTAATGTAACACCAACTGTAGCTGAGAACAGCAAGATGAGAGTCATACACAGAATGATTGTAAAGGTCTTGTCTGGTGAGTCTTACTGCTGCAATGGGTAGTTGCATTGAGGAGGGACAGCTTTGAAAAATTGGATACTAATGCCCTGAGGGCTCAGGATTTTGCTTCAGACATGGAGGAATGTAGAAGGAACACATCCTTGGTGCTGTGCAGTTTGATTCAGCTGTCAAGGAGAAGACAGTGAAGTTACACAGTAGGTTAAAAAGCCATTATGGGAATGGGTGTGAAAAATGCATTACTTGCCATCCTAAGTAGCGAATGAGTGGTAAGGGAAATACATCTAAATGTCCCCTTTCTCTCATCTCTTCTCCTGGCTGTAGGTGTCTGCCTTCACCAGGGAACTGCTAGCTGATACCAGTCAAGGGTAGTTATTGGTCTCTGGCTTTTGTCATCTGTGAAAAAGCTTCTGTGGTGTCTTCACCATAGTGGCAAAACCCCCATGTCTTTGCCTAAAAATTGAAATAAAGTGCAGATTTCCTGTATTCGCACAGCCCCTCATACTGCTTAGATCTGCACCTATCCCCAGAACAAGTCATTGCCAGAAATTGTAAACTTGTGTCTCTGTGTCATCAGGCTTTTCCTAGCATTTTGTGACTACCTCGCTTTTGCTTCCCTGTGATTTTGAAAAGTAGGCCTCTCTTGGTAACTCCTGAATGACTGCTACAAGTTAAGTGCTATGATCATTTGGAGGAGGAGAACTTTGAAGGGAAAAGTCACATGGCATGTTGCAAAATGAAGCTGCATGTTACATTTTTAATGAGATATTTCAGACTACAGCATTGTGCATTCATCAAATTCTCCACAGACTGCTAAATATCTTTCTGTTACTCCCACAAACAAGTGTGGAAACTTGTCTGCTTCTTCATTCCAAGGAACCCTCTCTTTGCATTGATTTGCTCTCACAATTGCTCAGTCTGTCTCTGAGCTCTGCATTGTGAGACCTTCCTTTCTGCAGAAATGGCACATGTCGTTGCTATGACTGAAATACAGTTTAGTATAAAGGCCATTTAGTGAATGCCAGCATTCATTTGGAAGAAGTTTAACATTAGCATTTTCTCTGCTTCATACTGCAACATGCCAGGCTCCCCGATCCTGAATTAAAAAGTATATAAACTTTTACATAAAACTCTATCACTGCCTTAATTGATTTCAGAGGAGCCAATCACACAGTTTACATTTCCACAAAATGCTCAATTGATTAGCAGGTTGGGAGTGAGAGCACTCCGTTTATGGAGCCTTAATGAGTACGTCAAGTTAGTATCTTTTTAAAAAAAACAATGAAAAAATCCCACAAAACCTGATTAAAAACAGAGTTTGTGATCTTTGCTCTTGTGTCAGAGGGGAATCAGACCAAGTAAGCCCAAGTGCATCGCACACAGAGAATGCAGAGTCAAGTTTACAATAACAAAATAATTCCAACTGGAAACTCTTAAGAGGTTTTTTTTCTCTTTTAAATCACTGTTTTTGTAGAAGAACCTTAGTCTACTTATAATTAAATCCTAAGACCAGGCAGCCATTTAAGCCTTATAGCTGGTTGTTTAAAGTATACATGTAAATGCGTATTTCTATGTCAACACTAATTTATTTCTGGGAAAATAAATAAATAAATAATGTGTATTATAAGAAGGCTCTGTTTTCTGTAGGCTTTCTCATGAGGTGCAGACAAAAACAGGGCTGAAATCTAACCTGAAATTGCCAGGCGTGGATTCTGAATTGTAGGTTTCCTTGTAAACATGATGATCCAAATTCAGACTAGCCTAAAACCACAGATTCTTTGTCTTAACTGAGTATTGCCACTTAAATCAATTAAAAAGAAATGTATGAGAAGCATTAAACTTCTGATAGAGCCTTGGTATTTTGCTTCTTCCCTCCACACATGTGAAGAAACATGCATACCCTGGACTAGCACATGCTAGCAAATGAATGCTTTACATGCTAACTCTTGTGAGCTAACTAGATATCTGTATGCAGGTGGATGTTTTATGCACTCAAGTTTTTCCTAGTGGCAGATTAAGTTTTTGGCACACATCTTAGGTGCCTATTTTTAAATATTTATTCCTGTGTATATTTTTCTTTCACATGCTGCTGCAGTAACCAGCTACTTAACCAATGATTTTGTATATTCCTTGAAGAGACTAAAACCAGACACTGTAGATATAAAGAGAAATGATGGTAAGAGGCAAAAAAAATTTCCATTCCATAAAAGGAAAACAAAATGCTGCTTTTCTGCATTTGCACAGTCCCTTATACTGCTTAGGGCTGCATCTACCCCATAAGTAGGTAGCAATCATGTATCTTACATCTTACATCTGTTAAACAAAAATGTACAGTACAAATGGGTCTGCAGGTGAGGGGGGAGATGTAGGGATGATGCTGCAACATACATTGCCCAAGGAATCAGGTGTTGTCAGAGCCGCTGCCTGCTCTTGTCATCTTCCCAGGGGTGTATGGGAGATGACTTTGGGAATCTTGTAGACCAGATCGGTATGTGCTGTTTGCTCTGGGAAAGGCAGTGATTGTCCATGCGGATTTTTTTTTTTTCACATTGGAGAGAATAGCTTTGAAAAGGCAATAGGAGAATTCCTAGGAAGGAAGGAACCCCAGTGTGCTTGGTAGGGTTGGAGAGCTCAGGAAGGATTTGGAGGGTGCCTTGAAGGCAAGCAATGTATTTAACATCAGTCTGACTGCTGAGGTGTCAAAGTTAAGCAAGTGTTTACATTGTATGTGGAAACTGACACAAACTCTGTGGTCAAGTGAAATTATATTAAAGAAGAGATATATGCTCTGGGTAGTCTAGAAAAGATAGAACTCATGCTTCAGGGAGAGCTGGATGAGTCACAACCGACTTGACACCTCAGGATTCTTGGTTGCAGCCTGGCTGTTGAGAATTAGTATCAGGAATGGGATTTGTCTGATATACATTGCCATTAGGTTAGGAGGATCATTTCCCAGATGGTCTGTGAGACAGAGTTTCAGATGTGGATGTCCTAGCTTGTTTTGTTGTTGCCTTAAAAAAAATAATAATTTCTTCCTCTCTCTGTTTCACTTGTTTCTGGCATTGCATTCCAGGTTTCTATGATTCCTATATCCCATTTTATTTTATTCTCCTCATCTTGGTTTAGATATATTCGTAAAGCCTCCAAGTCTAGGCCTCTGTTTTGCTGTGATTTATTTACTTTTGCCTCCTTTTTCCACATGTTGTTTCTCGGGTTTTTTTTTTATTATTTTTTTTTATTTTTTGTCTTATGCATTTATAGCTTGTAATCACATCCTTTATTTTGTTTTTATAGAGAAGGTTATATTTGAGGCTCTACAGAGAGTAATTTTGAAATAATCCCACTGAGACTGCTGAAAAGTTTAAGTGTAGCTTTACTTGTAGCACTTTTTTAAATTCAGCAATTTGTATGTTAGTTTTACTACTTAGGAATGTCTTTCTAGTTTTCTTCTTTGAAACCAGAAATACTTTAGAAGTTCTTGGCTGCAATGTGGTTTTTATGTATCATTTTAAAATCTAAATTATAGAAATGAAGTCTAAAAATTGTGATTAAAAATGCTGTGAGTCACATGGAGTAACATTGCTGTGGGTCCAGTGGGATATCAAAAGGTTAAATGACTTGCTTAATGAATGAGCAGCAGTCTCAATCTCCAGACCTAGCCCTAGAACAACCAATTTCTTTATAAATATGTACTTTCGTACAGGCTTGCAAAAGCAAAGACTCTGGCATTTATTGTTCTGATGTGTGTGTCTTCCTAGGACATTACATTTCTGTGGATACATCCTATGAGGGTGAGAAAGCCATTCTGTCCAGTCCCGAGCTGTACTCAGAGGAGTGGAGCTGTGTCAGACTGATTTATCAGATAGCAACAACTTCAGAGGCTTCACCTGATCCCGCCAGGCTCAACCTGTACCTGAGGCAGGAAGGAGAGAGCTTTGATCGTTTGCTGTGGTCAGCCAAGGAGCCTTCAGATAGCTGGCTCATAGCTAGCTTAGATATAACTAACAGCACAAAGAAGTACAAGGTAAGCCCGACTTCAGAAGGTGGCACAGGCTTTCTGTGTGTGAACTGCTTTTCAGACATCTCCCCCCCGGGCCCTATTCTTGTCTTTCATGTCTTGTGCTTGCAGTGTCTGAGTCAGTTGACGCCTCTGTCCCTAAAATGAGTGAGGAGAGCTGACTTAAGTCAGGCAGTTTGTGCTTTTCCCAGCAAACTCCAGGAGAGTACAGCCAGCTGAGCTGTGCCACGAGGATGCCTCACTTCCTGGCCACCTTGCAGGGCTGCTGGCATCCTGTAGCAGGCATAGGATGTGCTCACTCCTTCCTGTCCTCTTTGCCCTTCTGGGCAGGGTCAGATCTGAGAGGAGAGTAATTCCACCCAAAATCCATTACATCACATTGCTCACAGTAGTGTCCTGTATAGCCACAGTGAAAGAATCTGAAGCTCCAGACCCTTACATGAAGTGTGGGATTTTCTGGCTGTCTCACTGTCCTTCAGTATGCCTGCTGTCCTGGAGGAAGGGTATCGATTCCACCTTCAATGCAATCTGGCAAGCTCTTCCAGCAAAAACAGCTCTCCTGTCTCTAAGGGTGATGAGCCCCCCACCTATATTTAATTTGTTTAATCTGTTTAAATGTCCAGGGTGATAAAGAAAATACTGAAACCCTAACATTTGCAGTTTCATTTATATTGTGCAGATTGTACTGGAAGGTGAACTGGGACAAGATAAATCTGCTAGTATAGCAGTTTTTGAAATAAAAATAACTCCTGGATATTGTATTGGTAAGTACTGTCTGTTCAGCTCCCATATTCTCTACACAGAAAAAGTTTTCTTGTTGACAGTTTTAAAACTGAATTAAAGTTCTGGGTTTAGAAAAAAAGACAGTGACTCTTTTCCTTATGGAGAAGTAGGCTGTGATATTTGATACAGGTATTTTTAAGCCAAGGTTGCACACCCTAATATGTGTTTTTATTGACCCATATCTGCCATATATAGACATTGAACATACAATAATTTGTTCTAAAGCTATTTATTGTTGAAGCAGGAACAAGTGTTTTATTTTCACAAAACTAGACTGCTACAAGTATTAGACGTAACAGCTGTGACCCTTTTTCTGCTGTCTGCCTGTTCATGCTTCCTGACTTTGCATCTTGCTGGCTGCAGTCAAAACTCCGTTGTTATTTACACTTACTGCTATTTCCTCTTGACATTTGCCAAAAATCACTAACAAAGTTCAAAAATTTCAGTGGCTAGGAGGTTAGTAGACCTTTGCATTTCTGGGAAGCTCTGTTGGATGCTAACTGAATTGCAAGAATTCTTTGGTTCTGTGAAGGAAACAAAGCCATCCCATTACTTTTATACAATACTAGTCCTGCTTTGCTTCTATCCATTTGTTATTTACAAGTTGAAGATCTGCTCTGACTATATAATACTATGAAATCTTACCTTTTAAATCTACTTTATTTGGTTCTAAATTACGGCAGTCTTTCATTGCCAAATAATGAAAAGACAGATCGGACTGAACAAGATGGAAATGACAGTGCTTAGCAATAGTTTCTATCACAGTTTCTGTAATGGAAATGTGTTTGCTGAGCTGGTGATGTCTGCAATTGCAGAATGTGACTTTGAAGAAAATCATCTTTGTGGCTTTGTGAACCGCTGGAACCCCAATGTCAACTGGTTTGTTGGTGGAGGGAACATTCGCAATTCTCAGTCTATCCTGCCCAGAGACCACACACTTAACAGTGAACTGGGTAAGCAACAAATGTAAAACAGAAGTATAGTGAAAAACTTGAGTCTGTGATCTGTGTACACCTCTTATACTGCAAATTATTATGTGAATTCTTTCTTTTCTTTGGGCATCGGGTGGGGTTAGAATTACTTTTATGAAAAAGGGGTTAGAGGATATAGGTAATTTGTAGAAACTCACACAAAGTTTGCTGTAAGCTTTATACTAATGTTGTTATGCCCTTGTTAGGCTTTAAAGTCACTCAAAATAAGGATAAAATTTTGGATGGAGATGGACAAAATTCATCTTTCCGTGGATTCTAAAAGGATGGGCCACAATGAATTTTAAAATCTTGTAATACTGACATATACAGGGGTTTTATTTCCAGTGGCTATTGTGAAATTTGAGTGGGAAAACTAAGGAACTGAAACTTATTTGGAGAATCCCAGGTTAAATTGCACAGTTTATTAGGATTTTTTTCTTTCAGTCAGATGTGGTGCTGTTAATACAGCCTGTTGGAGGCAGAATGCTGTGAAGACTTAAAGGATGTTTGGCGCTTTCCCTGTGTGAAATACTTCTCCCAGCCATCTTTTTGAGAGCAGAACATTTTGTATATCCATAGAGGAGGGCTGAGGGGTATCTTTGCCTTGGATGCAGTGTTTCTTGAAGTACCAGGTGGCAGGTGATGGTCGGGAGATCTGGCTGCTGAAGAACATCGTGTGTCTCAGACAACATGACACTCGTGACGGTGCACGGCATCACATTGTGAAAAGCAGGGATGATCCTCTTTCCTTAACTCACACTGCTGTGCCTTTTAATTCATTTCACAATTGTGTGAGTTGAGTGCAGAGTGTCAGTCTGGCCCTGCATCACCCCACGGCATCTAAATGCTGGTAAAAATTTGATGGAAGTCTAACTCACCACTCACCACTCACTCACTCAACAGCAGACAGTGGCTCTATCCATTAAATAAAGTATTGTATGTGATAGGAAGTGCTGCCAGCTGCAGGGGATCTTTTTATTTCTTTTTCACACCAAATCCACACTGCTGACCACCCACTGACAAGATCCCAAGAAGCCAAAAGTTACAAAACCCCTTATTTTTGTGCCTTCATTGTTCTATGAAGGTGCATCAGCCGTAATTAAGCTATGAAATGTGGCAAAACTGCAGAGCAAAAACAAATCCCAGAATTTCCCAGGCAAGAACTGCTGAAGTGTCATCAGTCTTCTAGCCGTGGGCAGGCTGAAGGACACTCACAGCCAAGCAAACCTTTTCCTCTCCTTCCACTGGAGTGAAGTGAGAAGTGACATCTCCAGGGTTGAGAACACTATTACCTAACACATGTGGTGATGTTGACACAAAACCAATGGTACAGTTGGCAGTATTCACGCTGAAGTACCCAGTCAGTTTGACACTTTATTCTTCTCTCTCAAGTTTTCTACTTGAGAAGAACCATTTCTCCCATCTTCAGCTATACTGTTTGGTGCTGTGTTTCTGGGAGTGCGGAAGAAGAAAAACTACAGATGCAGAGCATGTCTGCGCACATGGATGTGTCCTTTTAAAATCAAGATGGCTGTCCCAAAATCAAGTCTGAGAGTGTACTATCTGAAACTCCTGCAGGTCACATTGGCTGTTGAGAGGCTGTTCATCTGTAATGCATTTTTTCTGTTTATTAGCATCTTCCCCAAGTCTTTTTCAAGGATTTGACAAAAAAAAATCCCAGTCTATTAAGTAAAGATAAAACATTTAGAAACCAAATCTTATTTAGAATGAGCAGAATTATACAAGCTGTGAAATGTGCAAAATAAAGGTTATTTGCCAATTCACAGAATCACAGGATTTTAGGGGCTGGAAGGTCATCGAGTCCAACCTCCCTGCCAGAGCAGGACCACCTAGGACAGGTCACACAGAAACACATGCAGACAGGTCTAGAAAGTCTGCAGAACAGGAGACTCCACTACTTCAGGGAACTGGACCCTGTTCCAGTGCTCTGTAATCATTACAGTAAAGAAGTTCTTCCTCATGTTGAGGTGGAACTTCCTGTGCTCAAGCTTGCATCCATTGCCCCTCGTCCTGTCACATGACACAACTGAAAAGAGATTGGCCTCTCCTTCTTGACATCCGCCTTTAACATATTTATATACATTAATAAGATCCCCTCTTGGTCTTCTCTTCTCCAGACTAAAGAGCCCCAGGTCTCTCAGCCTTTCCTTGTAAGACTGGTATTCCATTCATCTAATGTATTAAATGAACAGCTGAGTAAAACATGTGAGAAAACACATGGCTTATAGTCTTTTCATTTACTTGGGGATTAACTCAGTTGTAACACATTTTTTTGGCTTACGAATGGCTCCCAAAATTCAGAAAGGTTGTTACTTTCTTTAATATTAACATCTCTAATAAAGACTTAAGAACCATGACCCATTTAGTGGATGAGGGACAGGCTGTGGATGGCATTTACCTGGACCTCAGTAAAGCCTTTGACAATGTTGTTTAGTCTGGAGAAGAGGAGGCTGTGGGGGAGACCATATTGTTCTCTACAGTTACCTGAAAGGAGGTTGTAACAACATGGAGGCTGGTCTTTTCTCCCTAGTAACAAACAACAGAACAAGAGGAAATGGTCTCAAGTTGTGCCGTGGTAGGTGTAGATTAGGTTTAGGTTTTAGTTAGAAGAAACTTCTTTGCTGAACGGCTAATTAAACACTGGAACAGGCTATCCAGGGAGGTAGTTCCATCACCAGCCCTGAAGGTGCTTAAAAGATGAGTAGATGTGATGCTTAGGAATATGGTTTAGCACTGGAATCAGTAGAATTAGGGTAATGGTTGGACCTGATGATCTTAAAGGTCTTTTCCAACCAGAACATTTCTGTGATTCTGTGAAGAGATGTGGCTGACTATTTTGCTAGTTGTATCTTAGTTCAAGCAGCTTTGGTTTGTACATAGGAGTAAAGGAGGAAAAAAAAGCTCTCTTAGAATTACTAACATATCCTTGGAATCAACCATCATTGTCCAGGTCCTTGAGGTAACGCGTCTAGTCCCTGCTGATCTCCTGTTACTTCTTGTAAGAGGTGTCCTTTAAAGAGCATCCTTATACCAAGTTTCTTTTCCACTTTTAGGTCACTACATGTATGTGGACTCTGTTTATGTCAGACATTTTCAGGAAGTGGCCCAGCTAATCTCGCCAAAGACCACGGCCCCCATGTCTGGCTGCTTATCTTTTTACTATCAACTTAAGCAGGAGAGTAGCATTGTTTTTACTGTTTACTTGAGAGACACAAGTGGCTTTTATGAAGAGATCTGGAAGACAGACAGTGCACTGAGTGCAGACTGGGCGCTAGCAGAAGTTGACTTCGATGCACCGTACCCCATGGAGGTAAGGCAGCCATTCCTGTACAGTCCAGCTCTGACTTCCATGTTGCATCAGGTACCGGTGCCGACCCAGGGAACATGGCAGTGGCCCTCCAGTAACTGAAAGATAGTTATAAAGATGGTGGCAATCCATTCTTTCCTTTGTCCACGGTGTAAGGGTCAAAGAAAATAAGTTTCTATACTGGTGCTTGATTTTTAGCAAAGCCTTGTGAAGTGCTAGAACAGAATACCCTGGCTGACTGTAGAGTCCTACTAATGTGCAATCATTCGGTTCCTACTAAATAATGTCAGTGTTCTCTTAGTCCCATGTTTCTGTGACTTGTTGAGCCATTCTTGAAGATACTGAGTATCATACCATAATGCATGTCTTGCACTATAGAAGGAAAAAAAAAAAAATCATCTTTATTTTCTATCTCATACAATTCTGCAACTCAGTCTTTCTGTGATTTCATGAGATTAAGTCCAGATTTGGATCCTGATAGTACAGTAGTCCTTAGATGTGACTGACAGCTCTCCATGATTACTATAATTAGTTTAAAGAGTATAAGAAATAAATTGAATTTTTTATTCCTTTGTGTTTACTGAAAAAAAAAATCCAAAGCTCAGCAGATTGAAATAAACACTTTATATATATGTATTCTTTATATATATATACTTACCAAACACACACACATACATATATTAAAATGTGTGTATATATATGGTATACATACATACATTTACTTAAAAGTATACAAATATATGTATTTTCTACATATGTATGTAATTTTAATATGTATATATATATACACTCTCTCTGTTGCAAATTCTTTATTATCAGGTAAGAGTTTTAAAATAAACTACAGAGGATTTTTTGCTATATCATGTAACTGTCAAACTCAGTTCCACAGTGTACTATGGATACCACTGTTTAGTTAAAAAGCTCAATAGACAAATTAACAGGAAAGAAAGAATCCATCACAAATGCAATGTGAGGGAAGAAGAGCTGCAAACTTGTTGTATTCAGCTCTTTCTGTAGGTAGCCTCTGTTGGAAATATAACACTGGGCTAGATGGGTCTTTACTCTCCTCCAGGAATTTTAATGTAATCCAACACAGACATTATTTTATAAATCACTTTATAGAAATAAGATTAAACTTTGCATATATTTCTTCACTTGTTTTGAGGAGGTCCTCCCCTGTGTTTCATCTGACTAAAGGAGATTGCTCCGGATTCTTGCACAGCTCTCCTAGTTTGGCATGTCATCCCTAGGCAAGACATCACAGGCATTGCTTTCACTGAACAGGATCTCGCTCTGGAAGCTTTTGTCCTTACATCCTTGTTTTGTCCCTGGGGTTGCCTTATGATTCAGGCCTTTCTCAAAGTTTTCCTGTAACTCAGAGCTTTGATACTTAAAATTTCTCTTAAGACACTGCCTCAAGAGTTATGGACTGCCCTCCAACTACCTGAGGAAGTTATGTCCCTCAGGAATGGCTAAGTACAAACTTTGTTTGATTTTGTGGTAAACAAAACACAGCGATAGCTTCCCTGGTTCTTAACTAAATTGTTTTAAGGAAGTCTTCCTTGCCAGCTGATGCCAAGGCATGGGTTTCAGTGTCCAAGGATGTTTAGAGACAACAGCAAAAATTTGACATGGCAACAACAGAGTAATCCATGCAGTTCGTTTTTAGCTCTTGACCCAGATGGATTCTAAATAACATTAGTAACTAGGCAGCTTTAGATCTGTAGTCAATACAGACTGATGACCCTGAACACTGACTTTGTAGAGTATCATTACAGTAGCTTACTGAATACTTAAAACTGAAGGTTCATAAAGCAGCAGAAAACTATGTTCCCCCTGATTTTCCTTGACCTTGAGTGGGCAAAGAACCTATGTTCAGGTTCTAATTCATATCCCTAGTGATACAATTTAATTTGTCCCAACACCTGAAATGCTGTATTGGGTGCCCTGGAGTCTGTCTAGGACATCTGCTCAGAATTGTATAATATGAACATGTGTACCAAAATTATTGTTACGTATATGGCAGATGAATAACAATTTATTATAATTTCCAGGTAATATTTGAAGTTGCTTTCAATAGTGCCAAGGGAGGTTATGTTGCCCTTGATGACATATCTTTCTCTCCAGTTTACTGCAGCAATCAGACAGGTATGAGTTCTTACTGCTGTTTACCTTCCTTGTTCTCCCTCTTTTCTTTGCCACTCTGAACTGTCTGTCAGTACTTGCAATATTTGGTAGTGATGTCCAGATCATGCTGCCTTCTCAGCTGACCAGCACCACTGGGCTTCTATTCCTCCTGGCAACAAAACAGCAGATAAACACCAATGCTATTAATGTGATCCAGAAACCAGTCCTTAATGGTTTCTCTCCAAAGACCTTGCCTCAGGGATCTGCAACTGGAGCTCTAGACTGAATGCTGTATTTGCATCACTCCAGATTTTGAACAAATTACCACTTGCAGGCCTGTCACAGAAAAGAGGGGGATTTCCGCAGGTGTGATGGAATGAGGGAGAAAATGTCCTGGGCATTTTCATTATTGCCAATGTAGGGAACATCTTCCATGGCACCCTGAGGTGCTTTTCAGAGCCGCAATAGGAGCCTTGGCTTCCTGTCTTCACTCTTCCAGAAGGTTTTATTTTTCTCAGAGAAAAATCTGTCAAGATTTTATTAGGTTTTCACAGCAGCAGAAGTCAAATGAATCCACATGACCTCTGCTGTAGAGGCACTTGGGACAAAGAACACTGTAATTTGTAAATCCAGCCTCTAGAGTAGCTTGTATACTGGTTGCTTGGGTTTTACTGTAGCTCTAAGCCATAGTAAAAAGTTGATTCATGGTTTCCCGCTAAGCCCATCCATTCTTTTGGTCACAAGTTTTAATTTTTTGCTAATGTTTTGAAGTGGTCAAGGAAAAAGATATTTTTGTTTTCCTTTTTAATCTACTTGAAGTGTCTGATAGCTTTACCTGGACTGCTTAAGTATCAATAGGAGGCAGATTATAGATATGTTATTAATCTATTACTCTTGGCCGAGTAAATCTAGTTGTTTCATTAATTCCTCACAATGCCTGTTCTAGTTTTACTTTGTTTTGCCACAAAAATCCTGAGTTATGTTTGCGGTATGCCATGGATTGGAGCTGTGTGCTCATCTGTGTTTTACATATTCAGATGGCTTGTATCCGTTGAGGTATGGAATAAATTTTATCGTATTTTCTGGCCTATCCCCAATTTAGTCACACTATCACAGCCCAAGTTGAAACCTACTCTGATGAGTAAGTTTTATAAGTTTGGCTAGAGCTTTGCTTACTAACTCCAATTTTGAAATTTTGAGGGGATTTTTCTGTTTGAGAAATGAATATAAATAATTTGCTTTATATTTTGTTGAACTCTAACAAAGCTGATTAATCCTTCAGACTTAACTCTTCTTTCCGTCTTGTGTTTTGACTAGTTAAAAAGCAAAAGATCTTCATTCTCCCTGTGGTTAGCCACAGCAGTGTATGTAACAGCATTATGGGTTTTTTTTCCCTGTAAGTTTTGATGAACAAAGGTCTCAATGTTAGCTGAATAGAATATTAAACTTGCTCACCAAAGAATGACTCTTCAATGCTGCATGGATCTGGTAGCTCTCCAACTCTGTTTTCTTTAGGAAAGCAGTGGGGGGAGGCCAGGGCTGCCTGCTTTTTCTCTGTATTGAGAGGATGACACATGGTCAGTGCTTAGATCTGACTTACCTGAGGCTGGAAAAAGCACAAGCATCTCTCTCAATGCCAGTATTTTTCTTCTCCTGAAGCTGATTGTCTGGGTCCCTGCCCTGGCTGGGAAGACCCTCTTAATCTCCATGCAGCAGGGTCTCATGGGCTGCAGTAGTGATGCTGACAGGGTCCTGACTCCTGATCTAGCCAAAAATTTCATGATGTCTCTGGGTTGTGCCCCTCCTTCCCCCAGCATCTGGTGCAAGTGATTGATGAGGCTTTTAGAAGAGAAGAAATATTTTACTTAAAAGCACCCATTCACCAGGGAGATTTTTTTCAGACTAAAGGAAATCCTGTCCCATGAATTCCACACTGCAAGTCAAGAGGGAGCCATCAGCAGGCTTGGGGAGCTTAGCTTAGCTTTTAATCGACTTCACTAAAAGTGGTGCAGCTTTTTTTTGCTGCAGTGCTAAAATGAGTGAGGTGTAGCTCTGGAAGTCAACAGCCATGAGATGGTGCGTGAACCAAAAGCTAATTAACTTAGATACTTAACAGTATGCGTATCCATACACATGATATATGACTACATAAAGGTATTCTTTAAAGGTGCTCTTTAAAATAATATTATATGTTGATGTAGAAATCTATCTCCTTGGAAACTGAAATTACTGAAATGCACACACATGTGCACTTACACTCATTTTGTCCAAATATCTTTTGAGTGAAGTAGGAGGATGAAAACAGATAGTGTGTATTTCTTTGTGCTGTATATCCTGAAGTAGGAATCTTCTCTTAGTATCTGTAGCTTATTTATATTTTACAGGGGCTGTGAAGGAGGTTCCATCCCAGCTTCAGCAAAAATAGAAGAAAATAACACCCGTTTGTGATAGAAAATTGATAGTTTGAAATCATTGTGACTTTGCACTCTATATGTGTAACATCTGTGTACACTAACATCTTCTGTAATGCAAAGAAAGATGAAACAGAGTATGCTTGGGCATCCTTATGCTTCAGATACTGATTTTTATTATACTGTGCTCTTCCTAACAGAACATATGCATCTGTCTTTTAGGGACTCCTTTCAATCCTGCCGAGGCAGGCTGCAATTTTGAGGAAGATCTGTGTAATTTTTACCAGGAACACAAAGATGGCCCAGGATGGAGCAGAGTGAAAGTGAAGCGTAACGTGTATAGAGCAGGAGACCACACTACCGGGTTTGGTAAATCAAAGCTCCTTTTCGCAAAAAGAGTCAGACTGCATGTAAAGATTAACCTGTTGCATTGTTCAGCCTGTTAAATGATGTAATCAGCACACTGGTTAGATTGCCTCACTGCGACTCCCTGCCATTAAAAATCAGTTTACGCTGCGCTTCCTAGCTGAGACACTGGCTGTGCCTCCTCATATGTAAAGGGGGAAGGTCACCTATGGGATAGTCATGCAGGGCTGTGAATCAGAGGATCTTCACTGGACTGATCTGTAGTCACTGAAGGGATGATTCCATAAAAATATGTGCAAGCAAATACAAGTAGCTTAATGCATTGCTTTTAATACTGAGGAATGCTGGGCTCTTAGGTCTTCCAGGCTTAGGATAGTTGGAATATTTGAGGGAAAACCAGGACATGTTGTGTACATTTCCTGGCTAATAAGAATGAACACAGATCTTTGTGTTGAGTATTCATGGTTTTTAATCATATGTGCTTAAGTGTCTCATTTTTATCCTTACTGTAGGGAATAATATACCCTGTGCCTCATCCTTCAGTCTTTGGTCTCAGAGCAGTATCCTTGAAACAGCCAGGTTTCCACTGAGGCCAGAAGACCAGAGAATTTTTCAGTGCCAATTTGAAAAGTGGTTATTTCTGGTAACTTAGCTATGTGCCAGTGTAGCTTGAAGTAGCTGGTATACTTTTAGAAAAATTCTTATTTCCTTTTGAACAGAGTGTGATAAACTGTTTCCTGGCAGTAAAAACTGTTTTTATAACCAATGTTTGATGCAATAACAGAAGCTGCTTTAATAGCCAATCAGTTGTGCTAATTGCATATTAGAAATACTTATTAATTGCTCTGTCTCACAGGTTATTTCTTGTTGGCAAACACAAAGTTTACATCACAGCCTGGGTACATTGGACGTCTGTATGGCCCAACCTTGCCAGGAAATTTGCAGTTTTGTCTGCGTTTTTATTATGCCTTATATGGATTTTTCAAAATGAGTGGTACACTTGCTGTTTATATCTTTGAGGAGAATCATGTAGTTCAAGAAAAAATCTGGTCTGTCTTGGACTCTCCAAGGGGAGTTTGGACTCAAGCTGAAATCTCCTTCAAAAAGCCTATGCCTTGCAAGGTAAGAGTCAAATCTCCACAATTCTGGATGGATATTTTCTTCGCCTTCTCCACCCCAGGGTTCTTTGTTATCCAGGGATTAATCCTAACTGAGCTACACCTGCAAAGTGAAATAGAGTTCCCCAGGCAGTAGAGTGGGGAGTAGAATATTTCTTCACAGCATGGTTCCCGTGGGAGTCCTGACGAAGGGGCTTTGTACCAGGAGCAGGGCAGTGTTGCCTTGGTGTCCTCAGTGAAGTCGCAGTATGTGTGGAGATTCCACTTGAGGAACTCCTATCAAGAGCTGGTTATGTCTTGGTTTCTCAGCAGGCTTCACATTCAGTATTTTTGTTTGTTTGTTTCCTATGTGATTCACATTACTGAACTCAATGACAGAGTTTAATTCATCTAAAAAGTCAATACTGGTAAATTCTGGTCAAAACTCAACCACTGCTTTAAAATATGAAACCAAAAGTCAGTGTAGTTTAGATGAACGGGCTTGAAATGTTTGCAATGCCTGGTTGGAGGGGCCACTTTGTTACCTCAGCAAGTTAATAAGAATAACATAATATTTCACATCACTTCCTGATTAAGTCCTCAAGCTGCTGTTTTTCCTCGCCTCCACTCTTTTTACGAAGACTGACTTCTACACAAATTTACACTACTTCTGCTGTTATCCTGATTTCTGTAGTGTAATGTGTTTTCATTATCTGTGAGACATCTAAGGAGGACCAGATGGGTTATTGCCTGATGGCACTGAGATAAATCCAGCTTTTTTTCCAGTGTGTGAAAGTACTATGAACATGTGAATGAAAGCTTGTCTTGTAACTTAGGTATTTCTAAATTACAGACAGACATTTTAAGCATTTTCCCCCCTACAAAGTAATTTTTGAAATTGCAGTAGTTACTGAGTTTAACTTTCCTTGGCAAAAAAACCCAACAAATGAATTACTGCCCAGCAAGTCTATAATAGCAAAGTCTCTCATAGGATCATTGCAAAAGATTTGCAGAAAAGTATTTTTCTCCTTTTTTTTAAATCATAAGAAGGTATTGGTTAAAAAAGCAACGCTATAATTTATTTTTGTAATCTCCTGTTTATGTATTTCTTTATTCTAAAAAGGCTCAGTAGCTTGTGTAGCATAATACACTGTATGAGTAGTGATGACAGCTGAGCATGACTGTTGAAAATGGTTTATAGCCTTGGAGGTGGCAGTTTTTTTAGTGTCTGACATTTACATAGAAAATCTTTTCCAAGATGAATTTATAAAGAACTATTTTTATGTTTTCCTAGAAATTAGTATATCTAGAACACTTGTGAAGACACTTTCCTGGAATGGAAAGCTTTTTGAGTATTGCAGCTTTCATGTCTGTAGTTTCCAGTCTGTCTGTAGGCCATACCAGATGGGAACAGCAGCGCAGGGGAGAATGAAGAAGTCAGGAATATCCTTGCTGCTTCTGTGCCTGAAGGTCTGCAGGAAGGAAGAAGTTCCATGCTGTGCAGCAGGAGGGTTTGTTTGCCTCTGGCAATTTTCAGAAAACTTCAGTGAGTTATAGAATCACAGAATCACAGAATGCCAGGTTGGAAGTACTAGTTGACAACCAATGGCATCCTGGCTTGTATCAGGAATAGTGTGGCTAGCAGGAGCAGGGATGCAATTCTTCCCCTGTTATCAGCACTGGTGAGGCCTCACCTCGAGTTTTGTGTGCAGTTCTGAGCCCCTCTCCTCAAGAAGAATATTGGGGTCCTGGAGCAGGTCCAGAGGAGAGCAATGAGGCTGGTGAAAGGACTAGAGGGAAAGTCTTATAGGCATGGGCTGAGAAAGCTGGGGTTGTTTAGCCTGGAGAAGAGGACACTCAGGTGGGACCTTGTCACTCTCTTCAGCTACCTAAAGGGAGGTTGTAGTCAGGTGGGGGTTGGGCTCTTTTTCCAGGCATCTAGTGACAGGATGGGAGGGCATGGCCTCAAGCTGCTCCAGGGGAGGTTTAGGTTGCATATTGGGAAGTACTCCCTCTTGGACAAGGTGATCAGACATTGCAATGAACTACCCAAGGAAGTGCTGGAGGTGTTTAAGGAAAGACTGGATGTGGCACTTAGTGCCATGGTCTAGCTGATGTGGTGGTGTTGGTCATAGGCTGGACTTGATGATCTCGGAGGTCTATTCCAGCCTCAATAATTCTGTGATTATGCGAAGGGACCGCAAGGATTATCTGGTCCAACCTTTGTAGGTAGGAACATGGTTCAGATGCAACGGTCCAGCACCTTGTCAAGCTGAGTCTTAAAAGTGTCCAGCATTGGGGAATCCACCACTTCCCTGGGGAGATTATTCCAAAGTCCAGCTGTTCTCATACTGAAATTTTTCTTAAGATGTCCAATCAGAATCTCCCCAGGAGTAACTTGTGCCCATTGCCCCATTTCTTTTCCATGTGACTCCTTGTAAAAAGGGAGTCTCCATCTTTTTGGTAGCCATCCTGTAAGTACTGAAACATGTCATCTGTTGAGGAGGCATCCTCAAATATCACAAAAAGTGAGATTTATTGGGTTTTAGAGAACCCATCATGTTTTCAGCATATCATAATTCAGTCATGCCTTAGCCAAATAGTTATGTATTTGGGGTGTGTAGGTGTGTGAAGGTCTAGCTTAGCCTTGGTTCAAACATATTCTCTTCTGCTTTTTTCCTGGAGTGGTAGATTAAATTAGGTTTATAACAGGCATTAAGTTGCAGCTTTGTGTATTTAGTAGATGCCATTGGTACATAAGAAATCATGCACATGCTATAATGTGCTGAACTTTGTATAGTGGTTTTATGGTTTTCATTATGGTTGTGTATGTATATACACCACCAGTTCATAAATTTTTTCCTTAAATAGTATATGGAAGACAATGGGTGAAGTTCTGAAGCATGTCAATATGGAGAAGTATATTAAGATATGATTACAGCTGAGAAGGTTGCATGCAAAACACAAGTGATGCTGAAGTTTAAGCATGTGTCTGCTAAGGCAAGGGTGAAAAACTAATGTAGTTACAGGTTGTCTGCTTGTGATACTCACAAGCAGGCTTGAATAAAGTTGCACAGTGAACCCAATTCTGAATTTTCCTTGTAATCTCATGCCCAGCTCTCAAACTGTAATACTTTAAAAAGTCCTTTTATGCTTTATTTTGTTTGCTTCCTCTTTTCCAAGCCAACAGAAGGAAATGAAGGAGCACTATGTGACACTGTATAAACATGTAGTTTAGTTACCTGTGAAGATGTGTCCGAGTAGGATCTAATGAAACAGCTGACAAGGAATTCTCATTTCAATGGCCATCTTCAATGTAGGCCAGTGGTGGAGATGTTTCAGAGCATGTTGTGCCTGACAGCAAGAAGCATTGGGAACCAGCAAGTCAGGGATTACACTTCTGGCTTTGGAGGGAGAGCCAGTATAGAGAAAACTAAGGGAAACAAGTTTACTGAAGTCTGATCGCTCTTGTCTTGCCTCCCAAACTTGTCCTTGTGCTTCTTGCTTCCTTGCTGGTGCGTCTTTTTCTTTTCTGTCCTGCCTCATTGGCAGCAACCCACTTGCATTCCCCATCTTATTCCTGGCCCATCAGCTCTGAATGTCCAGTGTTTTTTCTCTCTAATCCTGTACATGTTCTAGTTTGTTTACCCTCTTCTCCTAGTTCTTACAAGTTTTATTTTTTAAAAAAAAACCTAATGACTTGATAGAAAGCACTGTTGTGACATGAAGACCAAACCCTGACATATTTCATGCTCCTATTGCAGAGCTTAGGAGTGCCCAAGCTTTTCAAATAATTTTTGAAATGGGGGCAAAATAAATCCTTTTTTTCCGAGCCTTGTTCTCGGAAATGATGGAACTGTTTTGGCTTTAATCTTCCAAAACAACCCTGAAGCAAGGACCCAGCATGGAAAATCTGAGCTGAAATCATTGTGTCTTGGCAATGTCATAAGCAAGTGAAAAACAGTCTTTTAGTGGAGGGAGGTGGTCTCAAAATAAGGTAGCGCTACCACCTTTCCTCTAATACAGATGTGGTGGCTGATGTGCATATCATGTTGTTTCCTGAGATCTGTCATGTCTAGACTTGGATGATAAGAAGTTGTAGTTTAGCTCATCAAGTTCTTGGTTACTGGGTGTGGCTTTAAGATTGGGTCAGCGCCTGTGGAAACAGTAAACAGTCTCCTGGCAGTTCCTTGATGGCCAGGAAAGCCAAGTGAGGCAGTCATTATATTACTTTGGCCAGGGAGTCCTGAAGGTCGTAACATTTTTGCAGCCAGAAAACTATTATTCTGAAATACCTGTAATACCCATGGCCTTATCTTCTGCTGTGAATACTACTCCCAAGGCTTTGAAAACAATATAAAATCCATCTTACATGCTTTAGTTTTGGTAATGTATTTGTTCACATAAAGACAATAAAAATCCCTTGGTTTGTGTAATGGTTTTTGGGAGTTTCTTCTGAATTAGCTAACTGCAGTCTGACATGGATTTCTGGCTTGAGTTCTGTGAGCAGGAAACGTGGAGCTGGCCAATAGACTTTAATGTGACACTTTGAAACTATTACATTGAAAAAGTTAGGTGTGGATGATCCAGCTAAGCAAACCATAAATATTTATACATATATATACGTGTGTATATATAGGTACATACTGCAAATACATGTGCTATATTATAGTAGTGAGACAGAAGGAAGTTTAAAATTCTGATTTATTGATTTGTACTTGAGGTGCTCTCTCTTTTAGTTAGTGTAAGTACATATGATTCTATACATATATAGTATATAGTACTCTGTAGTGCTCAGGGAAAAAATGTCAGAATAAATAAATAGTTTCCTAACATTTATTAAAAAAAATCAGACTCTTTATGCTTTGTTGTAAAAGCCTCTTTAAGCCAGCAAAAATATCTGAGTCTGAAACATGTTGATTCTTTTGATCTGATTGAATATCCTGAAATCATCTTCCAGGCCAATACATTGAAGGAGAATCTCAGAACTAACTGAAATAAAAATTCACATATGGCGTATGTAAC